TATAGTCATGCAGTCTGACACCTTGCGCACTTCATACAAGCTCAAGGGTCCACGCGAACTACCAGGTCTAATTTACTCTCAGTTAAATAAGCGTGATCTGTCAATGTTAGTCCCCTGATGGGCGCGAGAAGAAACTAATGAGCTTCTGATTAAAGCACCATTAACACACTTAATCGCTCTTATTATCTGCAATCGATCTCCCTGATGAAGCCTGAGCAGCTTGATTAAAATGATAGTAATATTCTTCCAGGAGTTTAATTGAGAGTTCATGTTCATGTTCCTGTGCTCCATGACTGTAATGAGTCAAGCTGTCCGTATTAATAATATTAATTCATTTTTCTGCAATTACATTGCTTGAATTTAATATAATGAACTTTAATATTAATTAGTTTTCAATGGCAAAAAAGGAAGCAATTGCAAATGAAAATTTCATACCCTGTTCAGTCCTTCCAAAAATGTTATAATCAAATAATTCAGTGGTAGCTCTTGCCGGCAGTATTTTCAATTCTACCAAAAAAATAAGTCTGGAAATCTCTAAAACGTCTTCGGAAACTTCTTTCAAGAGCAAATACATTTCTATGAACACTGAACCCATAATAAGGACTTCGGTTCGGACTCATAGAAGCTGTTTTTGTAAGCGATAAGTCTTAGCACTTTAAATGCAAATTTCAGGGAGAATGGCAGGGCGATTCGTAAGGTGGCTGCAAGAATATTGATCGATCTTGCTTTCTTCTAGGAATATTTTAAATAAATTAGGTCTGCAATCTAATGACTGACTTTGGCTGGGTTTGTCAATTTTTTCATTCCATGGTTGACCACCATGAAAGTTTTATGTTTTTTTTTTCATTTCTTGCACGCGTGACAAACCATGATGCTTGTTAGTGGATGGCGTTTTTTTGCAATTAACAAGAATAGCTGTACTTTTATGATAGCATCTAATTAAGCATATTAGGCGAATTTATTCGGTCATAAATTAAGTGGATGGTCGTCCATCAGCGATCGATAAGTCTTAGCACTTTAAATGCAAATTTCAGGGAGAATGGCAGGGCGATTCGTAAGGTGGCTGCAAGAATATTGATCGATCTTGCCTTCTTCGAGGAATATTTGAAATAAATTAGGCCTGCCACCTAATGATTGACTTTGGAGGGGTTTCTCGATTTTTTCATTCCATGGGTGACCATCATGAAAGTTTTATGTATTGTTTTTTTTTTTTCATTTCTTGCACACGTGACAAACCATGATGCTTGTTTGCGGATGGCGTCTTTTGCAATTAAAATGAATCGCTGTATTCTTATGATAGCATCTAATTAAGCATGTTAGGCCAATTTATTCGGTCATAAATTAGGTGGATGGTCGTCCATCAGCGTTACTCCGATTCAGTGGCCTCCGAGAACTGCTCGGCAAAACGCTCAGCGGCTAAACTAAGCTGAGTCGAACTTTGCATTCTCTCTGTGAGCTCTAATGAAGGGAATTTAACCATCGGAACGCGAGGCGACTAGACATTTCTTGCTGTAATCTTGGCCCTCATACACAATTTCTGACACTTTACAGAACTTGAACGTTTTCGCCGTACAATGCTAATTTTCGGCCAATGTGTTTCGGGTAAAACGGAAGCCGGAGTTGAATTGACATTGTGATTAATGAGCTACAACAGAATCAATCAGCGCCGGCTACCGTACGGACAACAGCGTGAACACCTGAACAGTATTCTAGTGAACATATACATTTATGTTAAGGAAATTTCGGTTCGGTAGGCATGGATATTTCGTTAAGAAGAACAAATCTAATGAAATTTCCTTTGATTTTGAAGACAAGCGAGGTAAATTTCAAATTTGGTAGAACTCTTGCATGCCCAGTTTTTCCTCAGTTTTTATGGAGTCTCCGAATTATGATTTTAATGCATATAAATCAATCACCTAGATCCCGTTCATACTTCCATTTTTTCCATGCGTGGCTTGCAAAGCTCTTGTTCCTCAGCGCTCATCCATCACCACCCGCAACATGCGCGGGCTCAACATGAGTGCTGGGACGGGTGCTGGGACGGGTGCTGGGACGGGTGCTGGGACGGGTGCTGGGACGGGTGCTGGGACGGGTGCTGGGACGGGCAATACGACAGGTGCTGGGACGGGTGGTGAGACGTTCTACTTGCTGTACGTCGCCATCACTCTACATTCTATTCACTCTCGCCCTGCAGGGTATGCGTTAATAATTTAGTTGGTTAGTTCAGGGGCTATAATTACTAACGCTTCACATCGAGTTCTTTCACCCCCATTCAATGCAGCGTTGGGCGTCTCATGTTGAAAAGAAAACATCACTCGCATTCGGCGTTAAACGATACTTATTCTCTCGTATACATGTATGTATTCAACACATTCAGTTATTCTATGAGACATTCTGCAATATAAGGTTTACGTTCAGGTATATTTCAAGGTGTGCGTCAGCATCAACGCGGCTTAGATGAAGGAAAAATCGATTGCAACTGCAATCTTCTATTGTTCCATTTAAGCCTAAGGTGTGAGTAGGGTTAATAAGGTTAATTATTGTATTGTCTATAGTCTCCTCGCTCCTTCGTAATATTTTAGATGCTATTAAATCCCGTGTAAAACTTTCTTCCAAATTACACAATGAATTTGTAAAATGTTTAAAACTATGTGCAGGTAGAATTATATTCAATATAATGTGATATGAGACATTTACTAGCTTAGCTTTCAAATATGTTTAATAGTGTGAAAATAAAATGAAAATGTATATGATAGAACTAATTCGGCGGAAGCAATGAAAATTCGTCACAGCTACCATCCAATTACTGTAGTCGAGTGATGGCTTTGAGTTGTGTCTTGATCCCGCTTATAAATAAATGTTCCGCGTGATTGATGGGCGCAAAAACACTATCTATAAAATATGCAGGCAGCGGTCAGCTAAATGCATAGTTTAAAGATACTTTACTTTAGTTGGATCTAGATTATCAGTCACAAAAACAGTGCTCGTTTTTCCCTCGTTTAATGTCTGTCGCACTTTTTAAGCCTATAACCCACAGTCTTAACACGCGTATTATAAACTGTACAAAAGCTGCAGCCGTCTTCTGAAGAATTGCACCAAAATTCATATATGTGTGTATTTGAAAAAAAAACTACTTTGTTTACTCCAGTTTTTTGATGCGTTGGGAGTGAAACATAGATTTGTTATTTGATTTCGTGTTTTTCATTAAAATTTTTTTAAAATATAAATATTCCACAAAGTTATTATTTAAAATTATTTATTAAATAATTCTGCGCATCACCTTTCATTTACTAGAATGATGTATTTTTCGGACGCTAGCTTCAAAATAAAGACTGCCTTAAGTAATCAGAGTGAGCTCTGTCGAAACTAGAGAGAAGCGGTTTCAAATGCTGCCCTAGCTACATTTCACAAGCAGGGTAAATTCATGTTGAGATGAACTGTAAGATATTAGAAACGATTCACGAAGAAAATTGCTTGAAGTTAAGTGCATCGATTGTAATTTATTTTGCCAACTGATGGCACATTTTAGCAACAAATTTATACTCAATGCAGACCAAGGGCTCTCCATCAATAAAGAATGAGAAGTCACCCGTTCTGTTTGATTCACTGCTGAGAATTAGACTGCAGTTGATGTGGTAGCTATGATACATTACATATGTGCCGTCTAAAGTTTATCTGGAATGTTAAATTTGAGAATTTCACTGATACCGGTATTCTCTTTTTACTGAGAATGTTATGCGTAATTTTAGCACATCATTCTAATGTATTTTTGTAATTGCTCTAGAGTTGTAACGAAAAATATTAGCAGACGAAGTATCATAGTAAGTTAAATTTGAATATTTCACTCATTTTCGATAAATACCCAAGTGTTTTTTTACGTGCAGATAGAATTTCATATGTCCGATTGCAATAACTTTTTGTTCGCATACATTTAACTTTTTCACGTATACATATATTGCAATGTTACTTCAGCTATGTTGTTGAACTTATTTTTAATCAATCTTCCCTACTGATGCCATTGAGCTGTAAATATTAACTGCACACACATAAAAATAATGTCTAATCTTTGAGCACCAATGCTGAGAAAATTTGTGCTGTATTCGTTTTTTTTTATACTCGTTAACCCATTTAATGCTCTGGGACCAATTAATGAGCTAAAACAGGATAATTCCAGGAAATTCTGGCGAGTCGTAAATCTTGATTATTTTTACCACGATGACAACGACGGTTGACCATTACCACTTAAATTTTGGGTTTTAGTCACTTATTACTATGCTATTGTTACGAGGATTGTAGGATTGTAAAAATAAAATGGCCAAACGAAGGGTTTCGCGAGGTTCCTGATCGTGTGCTCCATATTAAGTTGAGTGAAGACCCTAATTATAGAGACCCACTGCATGGCTTCCAATTAATGTTTATTGGCTGTATATCAGAGGCTGTAGTGAACGCTCGGAGATGTGTCAGAACACGCCGTAGAATTTTTCAATGCAATTTATAGATTACATCTCAATTAACTTACTTTCGGCAAAGCATATGAATGAGTATAAATAATCATTATCAACGTGAACTGCAGGTCGTTCACAGCTACAGCGCCGCTAGTGTAGTGGGAATTTTCTACCCGCGTACACATTTGTCAGCTGTGCCCTCGAATTGAAGCTCGGTTTATCACTGCCAAAAAACTTGTCGTCATCTCATTTAGCGTTCCACCAACTCCGCTAATCATCTGGTCATCTGATCGACGCTGATGCTTTTAAATTTGTTACAACGATTACATGTCATTGCTTTAGACTTGACAAAGGCTCAACTCAAGACGACAGATTTAATTATTATGTTTAAAGCTTGCGGAGATGATACAGGTGTGGCAGGGTGTTAGTCCATAGTCGCCTTATATGATACTCCTCGCACATCACTTCTTTCAAGGCTCTTACTTCGGCAGCAGAGCCTCCATGGCCTAGCTGCCCCGTGTAGTCAGATCTCTGCCTGGATAAATCGTAATATACGAGCTCTGTGCTCGCGCTGAAGCAGTTGCTCGTTGCCCGATAACATCGCTCGGTCAGCTCGCTCCATGTCATGCCGCCGCTGGTTACGCTGCTGCCAGCTTGCACGAGCAAGACGCGCGGCGCTGGTGCAGTGATGCATGTTGTTCACTTGTGCTGGGCTTTCCGGTGTCACGCTAGTTTCAAACAAAAAGTATCTGTTTAATTAGAATACTTTTTAACTATCAGATAGAAATTAAATCGCAGGGCAGTTTCGGCCCGATATGCAGTCAGAGTCGACGCGGTGTTCAGTGAGACAAACTGAAGTGAGGTGACGCTCGATGATAGCTCGATCTCTCCTAGTGTATCACGCTCGTCTCGTATACTAAATGCTTTGATTGACTTCAAGGCGATCACTAAACGAATCTAGCAATAGGTGGAGCAGAATTTGCAGAGGAACGGAATAAATTCGGTTTAAATCACTGACTTCGTGAAATTCAATGGCTGTGGGAAGAAATCTTTTATTTTTTAAAAACTCGTTGAGTCACAAATTTAGTTTTAAAAAAGAATATTTTCGAATTAAGTAAATTGAGCCAGAAGTTATGTTATCAATAAACAAATAACTTGATAGAACTGAAGGCCCAATTACGACTGATCGCACAAGTTTTTCACTCTAAAGAATCACACACACACAAGCTTTGTATGAGATTCTTCTTACATCATGTTTGAACGCAGTAAATTCCTTGTTTTTGGCCGCAAATGTTACAGTTCATCAGCAATTGCCATTACCAGCAAAAATGTTATTTATCAAGTGTTAGAGGCATGCTTTTATCTCTGGATGCCAAGTGGCCACTATGATTGGGGTTGCGAATTAAGGATTCGAAACCTGCGGCTAGTTGTGAAAATTGGCGAAATTGGTAAGGTGGTCGGGTGGTTAAGCACATCAAGATTGGAGTAGCTAGTCTCTGGTCAGAAACTCGTAGCTATGATAGTTAGAATTATTTGAAGTCTACAATCGGTGACATGCCAAACGTGACCTAATCCTGAACGCTGAAACCACTGCACTGTACGTATGTTTTTATCATACATACGTGGCATGTTTTTGAAATAAGTACCGTTTTGACATAAAAAACGAAAAGCGGAATTTTTTCCAAATATAATTTATTCATTTGTAAGGTCATACTTTCCTCTACTTTCCGATTATCTGTAAGCATTTATATAATTCCGATTATTAATAAGGCATTTACAGAATCTTGAGAACTAGATGATTACACACAAAATTACAAAGCTAATATAATTATTTTAGACTTAATGAAATTAAAAACGGTAGTTGAATAATCTACAAACATGTCCCGTATTTTATGTTCTCTCCAGTAGAGCATTGACTTTCACGCCTCTTTCTCTTTCCAGTTCAAGCGGATAAATTAATTTGATGCTGGGCATCCATGTTGTGTGGCCAGTTCATAAACAAGACGAAGATTTCGACAAAATATTAGAGGAAGCACAAGCATTGAAAACCTATAAATGCTGCAAATAGATAATTCTTACTGTTGATACAATTCAACAGTAAATGCAATTATTATTTCAAATAATTTTCTGTCATGAAACAATTTTTTGTAGCTCCTTTACGCTGCTGTTGATTACGTAAACACATAAGAACTTAGGTTTGAATCCGATGAAGCAGTTGTGTCATTTATTAGCATGTGATTGTTCCTTCATTTTGAACGCTGTTCAAAATGATATATGACTAATCTGCTCGTGCAATGTACGACCTCTTTAGAGAATCTTTAAGTAACTAAGAACGTGAATAGCATCGCCGACATCACTGCGAATGGAATTGAAATGATGAAGCCTCCAGCGATGTGTTAATAATAATTGTGGTCCATAAAACTTAGGTTTCCATTGGACTAATAAAAATTCGAATCCTGACCTGTGCCTCACATGTTCACGGATTAATGTGAGGCGATCGAATGTAACTTGCTGTTATATGAAGCCACGGAGCGCCGCTCACTTCGCAAGTTAGTAGTTATTTGAAGAAATGAACTTAGAGTTCTTATAGATCAAGTGAATCATAAATGTATTTTTCTTTATGCTCTATGAATGCTTTATTAATAAGATTAGTATTAGATGGTAGAATTTGCTAGTTTATACACGTGCGATTGGTTACCAGAGAATTCGTTGATTTAAATTATCAGAGATTAATTTAAATTAAGCTCACAACCAGACCGTCACTCGCATTGCGCTGAAGGAACTAAGCGGCATTATGATCAAGCAGTGGCCCGACAACAATTAACCGACCGACGATAGCTGAACCCCTCATCTCTACACATTGGACTCTAGCATTATCTTATAACTACCGGATTTGTTTCAACTCTGGGAGAATTTTCAGAGTGATATTTGGTACAAAATTTTACTGTTGTAACCTAGTTGCATATATTATGTACTTATTTCCATCAAAATTGCAATATTTATAATGCTTCTTCAAAAATGAATGTTTGTTGCATCGAAACGTCGGTAATAAACAAAAATGTAACTCAGTACTCACTGCAGTGAGTGACAGAGAGCGCATTTTCTTGTCGACGAAAACGTGAAGTCACGGACGGACAGACAGATATGGCGAGCACAATATAGTGCATTTTCTCCATTAATGAGAAAATGCGCTAAATCGCACGTGTATTAATAAGATATGTACTTACTAGTTTTTTTGTATTAACAAAAAATTAAATTAGGAAATATATGTTCTATAATTAATAATCAGAGGGCTTTTAACCTTCTCTTTGATGATCCAGCTTTGATCATCGACGATATCGTCGGTGGGCGAGCTGATCGAGAGGCAAGAAGACGGTCATAATAGGGCAATTGGTTTATATCTTCTGGCGACAATAGGACTTTATATCTTCAGGAATAATGGTTCCTCTTTATTGAAAAGGCTCCATTTAGACTTGAATTTGAGCCTTGTCTTCAAATAACCATCAATTTCAGTATTTTCTTCTTCCTTCTCGTCTCATGGTAGTACTAGGGTTTAAAGTTTCGGCTATTCCGCATTGCATAGATTTTTTTATTGATGTTTTGTGACTGAGTGGTTAAAAAAACTTGGCTTCAGATTATATGTTTCATCCAATTTAACGTGCAAGTTGTTTCATGCCACGAAATTTTCGATTATGCCGTTGGGTGAATGAAGTTGCGTATTAGAGCTTAACCATTCTCGGCTTCTGCAGAGCTGTCAATTGTAGCAGTTAGCCTCTAACGCTAGCAGTTTTATTAAGCATTATAACGTCGTGCTTGTACCGAGATATTAAGCCATAGAGTCATCAAGGGTAGCAATCATCTTATAAAAATTACCGACTACTGCTGCAGCCGCATCAATTTCAAATCCTGAAAAATTATCATCTGAACTTTCCAATCTTGCTCTCGATCGGTAACCTCAAAGTTAACCTCCGGTCGCATATATATCTTGATTTTCTCAAGGGCGGTATAATATTTAAATGCGTTATCTCCTCAAGACAGGCTCACTTTTTGGATTGATAAATGGGGCACGAGAAAAGCTAATCAATATCATATGCGATGAATTTCACTTTAGCATTGGCTCGGTCACTGAAAAAACCTACGCCAGAAGAGCGGCGTTCGTGCGATAAGAAAGGCTTGTCTTGATAGATGGAATCGCTCTCCGCGTCGCCTCTATCCTTCTGCCCACCGCGGTCATGCGCGACGCCAGCGCCATGCAGGTTCGTTGTTATAAACTTCTTCATTCAATGATAATTACTTTTTGATGTACGGGGTCCTAAAATTTAGATATGATGTTTATTGCATTCAAAAAACGCTGTAGAAATGTTTTAACAAAAACTACTTCTTTATTGCGGCCACCTGCGGGTTTGTACATCAGCTGATAGATATGTATGTGTTTTCGACTTGCATTATGATCGAATTATTGACTTTATTTTTGTGTTGAAGAAGGTAATTTTGCACTTATTCATATTTAATTGGCTGAGACAACAAGAAAATGCTTGGAACACAGATAGTTGAAAATTCAAAGTCAAAAAAGCAAGCTAACGAGTCCAGATGTACTGATTTAAAATCATCAAAATTTATCAAGAATTAATTTATGAATTTATGTCGTATTTTTTCATTTATCAAAAGTCAAATGAAACTAACTCATACATGCGAAGATTTTGCATGTATGAGTTTCTTCATTGATTAGTTTGTCACTTAATATAAAAAAGCGATATATTATTTAATGCAATCGCTGCACTGATAAAAATTTGAACGTTCACTTAGGCCATCACCTTCAAATACCGTCTCACTCAACTGTACCGTGTTTTTGTTCCTCTCCAAGACCTGAAATTAAAAGCAGATCGATGAAGATCGCTGCTTGATCGAGTGCGACAAGCTAATGGCTGCACTCTGGAAGGCGTCCGGTACTTGGCCCACTTTAAAGGACAATCTGATAATTAATTATGAAATAAAATGCCCTTTGACTCTACCTTTAAAGTTTCGTCGCCCAAGAAGAATTGCTACTTTCTGGTGCAAAAAAGATCTCGACGTGTAAATATCAGGCTTGGGGATTCTTGTTTATAAATCATGATTTTTTCTTACAGTTCACCTGTCATCGTTTCGGTCTTGTAAAGCCACAATATGAAAAAGCTATGCAATGCATTCATCGACATAGGAGGCACCACGTTTTTATCATAAAATAAGCAGAGAGTTGAGCCAATTAACAATGGCTCGAACGCAATGAAGAAGACAGATTTTAAATCCAACAATTCAACTTGAATCAAATTCAAACTCATTCGATGAACGAAAAAACTTCCATTTCTAAAAATATATTTCTCATATACATGGAGAAGAATGAAGTCGTCGCTTCTCTTTTTTATTTCAGCGACAATGAATGGTGGCCCCGGCGATGTTTTCACAAGACAAAAATGGCGTAACTTATACAAAGACTTACGTTTGCTTGTTAAGAATAAAGTAATGCTCATCACTTACTCACTTCCCATATCCTCATCCTCGAATGGCAGAGCACGACAGTCAAGAAAGGGAATGAAGGTCGTGAATTTCCTTACAAGTAAGGAGCAGGAACTGCTGGCATGATGGATGTCTCGGCTTTAAATGAAGGCTTCTTTTAACTTTAAATGGGACGCGCATGCAATTGTCCCTGAGGTAAAA